TGCAACGAGGCGTTATTGAATTACCCCTACCTAAGGTTTTTACTGTGTTTATAAAAATGTGCATCCTTCAAACGGAATTTATCAATAAACAAGTGCTTGGAAATTTTAAATCTTTGTTTTGAATTAAAGCTCAATCCTTTGACTACACGTGTATGTTAAAGTTTTTAACTTCGACTCACGCGTTTGGACACAACAACCCAAAATAATGGTACAAATAACTAAACCGTACCCCTTGGAGAAGCAGCACGCTCAACTTTGTTTGTTTCTCGCAGCTTTTGCCCTGAAAAATTGCAGTATTTTGTTCAAATCGTTTCCATAATTTCATGTTATTCATTTTAATACTTACATCACTTTAATTTTGTTAAATTGAATCGTATCGTGTAAAAATGGACAACCGCTTGCAAGCGTATGAAATTGAACAGCTGATACGATAGCTATCGTATGGTAATACCAAAATTTAACGATACACGATAAATGGTAGTTATCGAATTTCATACGCTAGAATTTAATTCGTAATACGGATACAACAGAATGCAAGCGTTCATCGTGTATCGTATGGATTCATTATAGGGTGGAAAATCCGCTTTTATTATTCAAAATCCCAGTCTGGCAACACCAAATTTGATATTATTTTGCTATCTTATTCATCGTTTATACGAAAACTTTAACAACAAATTATATAAAAACTGTATGAGATTTGGTAACTCTGCTTATCTATCGACTAACACGATATGCATCAATTTATCGAAATATCTAGTTATAAGTTTGATCTCTAAGAAGGTTTTTATCTTCGATTTTTTCTTTTTCGTGTAACGAATGACTTTTTCATCAATCGAATAAAATACACCGCATTGTTCAAATAAACTAAGCAAAAAACTCGAGTCTAATATTCTTTTCGGATTTCCGAGTGTATGAGATACAGGCGATTAGGATTTCATACATTTTTTGGTGCCGAAACCCGGGACTTTCGCTGTACGTCGAGGCTTGTTAGCGTCGGTTGCCTTAAGTGCCGTTGGCAGTGGATACGAACCGTTATAATCTACATAAAATGGCTTCCTTAAACAAACGAGCTGCTGCTGTAACAGCTATTAATCGAGTCACTACTAGAATCCTCGCAGATGGTTACAGTGGCGATGGCTTTGCTATTGCTCAAGATCAGGCAACGGTGCAGTCCCTTTTCGATNGACAGATTTAATGTGGCTCATGATGGGCTAATTATTGATGCAAAGAAGGAGGAGCTCGATGCTCATTTAGATTTATAGGATCAAATGGAAGACCTATACAACAAGGCTATGGCTAAAGTTCACCGCTTGCAGGCAACCATCAGCTCCACAATTCGCAATCCCCCATCGAATGCTGATGACAATGACTCGATAGGATTACCTAACCCAATGGCAATGAATTTGAAGGTGGAGCGATTATCTGTTCCAAAATTTGATGGCAGACTGCGCAACTGGCTCGCATTTAAGGATGCCTTCGACACATTGGTCCATTCACAAGAATTTCCGGAGGCATATAAACTTGGCAAATTGAGGGAAGCTGTTCAAGGTGATGCCGTGGCTTTAGTAGGTGGTATGTACAGTGGTGGCTACGAGGAAGTTTGGAAAGCTCTCAAGGACCGTTATGACAGTCCGAGACAATTGGCTGATATTCATGTTGCACAATTTATCGGGTTGGACCCAATAACCGCTGAGTCTACATCCGCATTGCTATCGGTGGTCGATACAGTGCGCGAGTCGTTGCGTGCACTGGCTGTCATGAAGATACCAGTGGACCAGTGGTATGCGTTGGCTGTTCCCATCGTAGTGTCAAAGTTACCAGCTCGTACGCAACAGGCATGGGGCATGAGCCGCACTACACAGGATATACCTCGCTTGGATAAGTTACTTGCATTTGTGGAGAAAAGGGCACATAGCTTGACAGCTGATGTATTGCGATGGCCCATGAAATCTTCAAACCTTGGCAATAGAAGCTCTCCCTCTACTCAACGTACTTCTACGCCTGGCGGGCATACAACCCATGCCTCTCGCTTGGTGAAAACGAATTTGGCTGCAACCACACCTGGGAACTGCGAATATTGCAATACATATTCTCACCGGATTGGGCGTTGTCCACAACTCTTGGCTTTACCTGTTCAGGACCAGGGATGCCGTTTGGATCTAAATAGATCCAATTGGATACATTTTTAGACGAATTTTTGCGGGATACTTATTTTTTCCGGTCAGTATAAAAGTGGATACTTTTTTAAATAGGCCAAAATTTTATATTTCCTATAAAGTTTTTTTCGTTCAAAAATCGATTTTTATTAAAGATGGTAGAAAGCATTACGTTTTCTAAACGTATAAAGAATCGCTACTTAAGCGTGAAATTAAAGCATTTTATTTTTTGTGAACGAAGCAATGAACATATGAAGAGATCTCACCAAAATAGGTATAAGCACAATTGCTTTAATTAGCTTAAAAGGATGCTTTAAGCAAGATCTTAATATACATACATATCGTCGTTTAAAGTACAAAACCGCAACAAAATGCAAAACCGCGTATCAAGATAATGCAAAACTGCGTATGTGACGTTGCATAAATTATTTTCTAGAGAGTAAAAACACTTATATTTCAAAATGGTCCCCTTTTTTATAAAGCAATCGCATTTCTGGCTAGTATATTTCAGGACGAAGCCAAGAGCTTGTGTGAGCAAATCCAATTTTTGGCAGCAAATGTCAGTTACGCGGTTTTGCAGAATGTCGATACGCGGTTTTGTACTTTAAACGACGATATATGTAAAGTAAATCATACTCTTTCTGTAGTAATCTCTTTCATATCACATATTTTCATTTGTTAATTTAAAAAGAAATAAGATTTCAATGTAGTTTAAAAAACTAAATTTGATTTATTTAAGGAAACTTTTATGAATTTTACTGAAAAGACTTTAAATACACTCTAAAAAATTTTGTTTATTTGCGCATATTGAGAGAGGTAACCGGTTTCCTCTTTTAATGTATGCAAATGTGCAAGCCGTGTAATAAAATTAATCATTGCCTGTTTATTTTTACACAAAATGTTTAAAATAAAGTAATGTTTATTATTAGTAGGAAATGTATTTGTAGTTTGAAAATTTTTGCAATTTTAAACATTCTACATATGTGTATTTATGTGTGTGTATTAAAGATCTCAAGTTCAAAATCAAATACTGAACATCCTATACGTATATTTATACAGATTCTTGTTGAAAAATAGATACTTTTCAGTTGTAGTTTTACATGCTCTTTTTAGAGTGTACTTGCTATTTATTATATTTACTCTGCAAAATACTTATGCACAAAAAATGTACTTTATAAATTGAAATTACAAATGTTTGATTTTATGCACATGTATTCCAAGTCCTTAGCATGGGTTAAATTATGTCTTTTTCATGAAAATGTTTGGTTTTCTTACAATTTATGAGATGTATATGTAAAAAAAGAAAATTGGATACATTTGGATACATTTTTGGTTTGGTCAGGGATACATTTTCTTGAGACGGCGCGGCAACACTGATTCCACAAATTGAAGGGATCTAGTTTGTGCTTCAATTGTTTGAAACCTGGCCATTCAACCAAGGCTTGCACCTCTACCAGCTGTCGAACGTGCAATGGGCGGCATCACACCATATTGTGTCGTAATCAGTTGGTGGCTCCCTCGACTAATCTACCTGAGGCATCTCGGAACGAACCAATGGCTAATTCTACATCGGGCATGGCAACCAGTGGCAATGCAGGGAGACCTCCTCAAGTTCATCAATGACTAGATGATTCTATAAAAACATTCACCCTAATTAGCAATCGATTGATAGTCTTGGCAACTGCGCAAGTACACATCATAGATGGTTTTGGCAATATCCGTTCGTGTCGATTACTATGCGACCCTGGATCTCAGGTCAGTTTTATTACTTCACGTCTTTTTAATAGTTTGGATATCCCTAGACAGAAATGCGGTCTAAGAGTGGAAGGCATAGGTGGTAAAATGTATTCACACATTCGAGGCCGGGCAGTCGTTCACATCGTCTCCCGAGTTAATCCATCGTTCAAGCTTCAGGTTTATTTCCACATCATTAATTCTATTACGACACCTACTCCAGTGGCACCAATTGCTGATCATTGTTGGCAACATTTACGCAACCTGTCTTTGGCTGACCCGGTATTTGGCTCTACTGGTCGCATCGATGCTCTACTGGGGTCAGATGTTTGGGGTCAAATGATAGTTGATGGCATACTTCGTGGCGGTATTAATGACCCAGTAGCACAGCAAACTCAGTTGGGCTGGGTTGTCTTTGGTCCGGCCGAGGCGGTCGTCGCTGGCAACAACCCACTACAGGCTATGTCAGCTCGAATTGCTGAGGCTGATTTGCGCATCGATGAACTATTGCGCGAGTTAAATTCATACTCTCGATGTACATAAATAAATATAATTTTATTGGTACCAAGATGTACTTAAATCAATTCTAACCTGAAGTTCATATGCTTCAGTATAATAGAAGACTAACTTATTTCTATGCTTAATCCTCTATTTATAGGCTCTGGTTTCTTTTGTTTATTGGTTGCTGATAATCTTCAATAGGAATGTTTTGGTTGCTGATAATGTTCAATCTTTTATTAGCTGACAATGTTTTGGTTGCTGATAATCTTCAATAGGAATGTGTTGGTTGCTGATAATGTTCAATAGGAATCTTTTATGTAAACTACTGATTCTGTATCATACATTGGATGATGTCATCGGTACAGTAGTGTATTTTCTGTTACACTAACTCGCGCATTATTCGAGACTGAACTAGCGGACAACAACTTTGGCGCTAAAATTGCTGTGGCCGACCCTTGCGAGGAAATAATCAAGAGGGCATGCAGGCGCTCCCGTGACGGTCGGTACATTGTACAAATACCCTTTCGCTCGGATGCACCCGCTCTGGGTAATTCGCATCAACTGGCACTGAGGCAATTCCATCAACTTGAACGGAAACTGGCTCTCAACTCAGAATTGAGACTAAGGTATATGGCGTTTATGCGTGAATATGAAGAGCTCGGTCATATGTACCCGATTCAAGATCAGCCAGGCGATCCGTCACAGGCCTATTACATTCCGCATCATGCCGTCTTGGCAAAATTCCGAGTCGTTTTTAACGCTTCCGCGAAAACATCGAATGGTGTCTCACTAAATGATACGCAGATGGCTGGCCCGCCGATACAAGATTTGCTGGTTAATCTGATCCACCGATTTAGGCTACAGTATATCGCATTGACCGCTGATGTGGAAAAGATGTTCCGCCAGGTGCGCATTGACAAAAGGCATCGGCAATGGCAACAAATACTTTGGCGCGAGACACCTACGGGACCTGTCCGAACCTATCAGCTGGCGACTGTGACATATGGTACTAGGAGTGGCACATACCTATCGGTTCGCGCAATGCAGCAATGTGGAAGGGACAACTGCTTTAAATTGCTGGATTCGGAGAGAGCTGGTGCTGCTCTAGATTGCATTCTTCACAACTTTTACATAGACGATTACCTTGTGAGCGTACCCACGTTGGAGGAGGCATTGCAATTGGGTGCTGACGTTGCTTCGGTGTTAGAGGGAGGCCATTTCCGTTTACGCAAATGGAGATTAAATATCATCGATGTTGTAAGTACCCTAAGTGGCGCATCGGACCCAGTGCATCTTGACTTGCATTTGGCGGAAACAACTATTCTTGGACTACATTGGGACCCTTCAGCAGATGATCTCTTTTATCGTGTGGGCTTAGCCGGATCAAAATCAATCACCAAACGACAGGCACTAAGCGATGCAGCAAAATTATACGATCCCACAGGCATGTTGGCCCCTGTGTTACTACCAGCGAAACTCTTCACACAAAAATTGTGGCAAGCAAAACTAGAATGGGACGCACTGCTGCCATCTGAATTACAATACGAATGGCTCACCTTCCGAAATGAGTTGAAACAATTAGAAGAGATAAAAATTCCACGATGGCTTGGCATGCGGCCGCAGGCTGAATCACATATATATGGTTTTTGCGATGCCAGCACTAAGGCATATGCTGCTGTCATTTACTTATGCACTAAACGCAACGATGGGCAACCTATTAGTCAGATAGTTGCATCGAAAACTGGAGTAGCGCCACTACATAGCATCACTATACCTCGCTTGGAGTTGAGCGCTGCCCATCTATTGGCTACACTTCTGGGCGAAATAAAAGGAGCTCTACGCTTAGAGCAGATATCATACCGCACTGTATCAGCGCTACTACATCATCATTTGTGGTGGCATGGCCCCACATCGGATAACTATCCAATCGCCAGAATACATACACTGGCACCAGAGGAGATCGTGGAGATGGAGGGGGAATTAAAACCAGTAAAATCCAATGTAATGCAGACAACCACATTGCACACATTGCAAACTCGGTATTCCGATGGCAGGCAGACCATCATCATCGACTTACTAGACCGCTTCAGTAATCTTGGCAAATTGCTTCGTTCTACGGCATACCTCATGAGATTTAAGAAAAATCATCGCCACTATCGGTCTAATTTACACGTATCAGCAGCCGAGATGGATATAGCGCTATATTGGCATATACATGCAGAGCAAGGCAGGTTTTTCCAGCCAGAAATCGCATCATTACGCAAGGCACTGACGATTCCATCTTCAAGCAAGCTCCTGGCATTGGCTCCGTGTACTGATGATTCAACATTCAGCATCCTTCGAGTGGGTGGTCGACTAGACAACGCAGGCGTTGAGGACGGGATACGTCATCCCATCCTACTTCCGCGAGAGAGCACCCTAACTAAGCTTATCGTATGGCAAATGCATACTGACACACTGCATGGAGGCGTTCAGCTTATGCTGCATACTATTCGCCAGAAATATTGGATCCTATACGCACTCTCTCTGGTCAAACAATGTATCCATGCCTGTACTACTTGCAGGCGGCACAAGCATATTATGATGAATCAACGTATGGCATCGTTACCAAAGGCACGCGTTACCCCCGCACCCCCGTTTTCAGTATCAGGCGTCGACTATTGTGGCCCATTCAACATACGCATCGGTTCGAAGGCCATCCGCACAGTGAAGAAAACTTATGCAGCGATCTTTGTGTGTATGGCAACAAAAGCGGTACACATAGAATTGGCGGAAGATCTCTCGGCAGAGGCGTTTATCAATATCTACACCCGTTTCGTAAATCGACGTGGTCTATGTACCGACTTATATAGTGATAATGGCACAGCCTTCGTAGGCGCAAATCGCATGATGGAAGAAGATCTGCAAGCATGGCATGGCGAGTATGCTCAGCAGAACCTGGCAAACAAGGGCATACGTTGGCATTTTATACCGCCGGGAGCACCACATCATGGCGGGCTCTGGGAGGCCGCTGTGAAATCCGCCAAAAAACACATACTTCGAATAGTTGGCACGCGCTCTATCTACTACGACCAATTGCACACACTTTTGGTGCATGTGGAAGCTTGTCTAAATTCCCGGCCGCTGGTTGCACTACATGATACCCTTGACGACAAGATGGCATTATCACCGGCTGACTTCCTGATCGGGAGATCAATCGTGGCAGTGGCCGAAAAATCAACTGGCGAAGTACCTTCTAATCGACTGTCTTATTATCGTCAGCTACGGCAGATGCAGCAGCATTTCTGGCAGCAATGGCATGATGAGTATCTCTCCACGTTACAGACCCGATCAAAATGGCATAAGAACAATGACAGTATCCAGCTAGGCGACATTGTAATCATTCGCCACGAGAACCTACCAGCTACGCACTGGCGACGTGGCAGGGTGGTACGGTTACATCCAGGTACCGATGGCTTGGTACGTGTGGTCACCATCAAACATGCAACAGGCGAGTGCATGCGACCAATACAGAAAATCTGTAGGCTTTTGGATCATCCTGAACTTAACCGTCCAGCCGGGAAGGATGTATGGGATTTGGTAACTCTGCTTATCTATCGACTAATACGATATGCATCAATTTATCGAAATATCTAGTTATAAGTTTGATCTCTAAGAAGGTTTTTATCTTTGATTTTTCTTTTACGTGTAACGACTGACTTTTTCATAAATCGCATAAAATACACCGCATTGTTCAAATAAACTAAGCATAAAACTCAGTCTAATATTCTTTTCGGATTTCCGAGTGTATGAGATACAGGCGATTAGGATTTCATACAAAAACTATAGGGTTGCTAGAAAAAAGGGGGATTTTTGAAATCAGGGGGTCCTATTCTACTCCCCCCCACTCACCCCCACTTTTTCTAGAATTTTCCGTCCGCATACTAAAATTTTCCCGATGTTTTTTCAACAGCTTAATATGCAAATGTTTATTAGCTAATGTGAACGACTACTAAATGAAACTAACATGTGGCAAGCTGTCAGAACTGCAGTCAACACCGATCATACTCACTCATCCTTTACCATCGCTAACAGAAGGAGCAGAAGGAGACACAAGTTTTAGTTTTTTATCGTCGATTTAGTTTTACTTAGCTTCGCTTTCATCCTCTTTATTTGAGTACAATTTGCTTGGTTTTAATTGTGCATTCGGCAAGTATATTTGTAATTTCATTTAAACGTTTAATAAACAGTGTCGTCAACCCGCTTGCGAATTTAACGCAAGTAACGTTGTCAAAAAAGGCGCATACACAATAATAGTCCAATGACGAATTACTTGGTTTATTTCCAAGATGTAAAGACTTGTTACAAATATATAATTGATAATATTTCAGGAGTTACTTACCGCAGTGTGTCCTTCACTCGATCCCTTTGGTTGACGACTGACTTTGAGGTTGACTTGCGCCAGCAGATCAACCAAATTATGGCAGCGGTAATCGAGCGAAAGACACATTGCGGTATGTATGTACACAAAAAAACCTAACATTAATTTGTACATACATATTTACAAGGCACAACAACAACTCCAATGCTTTGCCTACATGCATGTACATATGCATACGAACAGAAAAACAAAACGAAAAAGGCAATACTGCATTGACCGTACCTATTCCGCGGACATGTACGTATGTACATACGTGCATGCAAAGAGTTAGCGGCAAATTAAATACATGGGATACATAGGGCACTTAGTAACACATATGTGTACATATGTATCTCTAAATAATGAGAGTAACATATGTATGTATGAAAGGTATTTGAAAATAAATGAGAACATCGAAATGGAATACATTAAAAATGAAATACAAAAATGAAGTACATGAAATTGAAATTATGTCAAAGGCAGGAGTTCCCAATAAACAGTAATTTTGCTACATACAAACGCAAGTCTCTACAAAGGTCTAAAACTTGTCTCCGATTCTGCAATTTAAAAGGAATTTGCCGATTTGCCGCCGCAGACTTGTGCACAGTACCAGCCATTTTTTGTAACCAGAGCTCGGCTAATTCAACAAGCACCATAAGTTCATGTTGAATCGTGGAAATTCCCAACGAACCGTCGCCAGCGCCTAGATTCCAGTTGGAGCCCAGAAAATCATCGCCGCATTATTGAAAGGAGCCATTGCCGTGCCTTTTCACGTAGCCTGCCAGAGTAAATAGAGCTTAGAGCAACGCGTTGAAGTTGCTGCCGTACAAGTTATTCAATTCGTTTTTGCGTGAAACTACTGCCATATTTTCTCGCCACATACTTGTACAACTAACGACATTTGCAACTATTTCAGTTGAGTTTCCCGTCACTTCTGTCGAGTTTCCCGCCACATACTCACAATAGTTGTTTCTGCTGGTGTGTTCGTTGAACTTTGCCGCCACATAGGCAGACATTCTTGCAAGTAGCCGATGCATAACGGGTTTCCCAACAAGTGAGCCCCGAGACAATTTCGCAATCCTACTGTCCTCAATCACAGCGCTACGCGAGTTAATTCAGGAACTTCGTAACGACACAACCACGCAGCGAGCTGATATTCAGCAACTTCGCGAGCGCATAGAATACGATTAGGCGGAAATTAGTCAACGACCTCCGATATTGCATCAGTCGGGTAGCAGGCAAGAAATCAACGCTCCCGCACATCAGCAGCTGTCGTCTTCGCCAACGACGACGCCGCAGCCACAACCAGCAGCCTTTGTTGACAGCGCCGCTGCAAGATTATATCCGTTACCAGTTTTCGAAGGAAGCCCGGAAGACTGGCCGCTATTTATTGCGTGTTTTCGCGATACAACAGCGGAGTTCAATTACAATAATAGACAAAACTTGATGCGTCTTCAAAAGGAATTGAGGGGTGAGGCAAGGCAAACAGTCACATCGCTCCTGATTTACCCCGAAAACGTTCCGAGTGTTCTAAGCGAGCTGGAATTCAATTTTGGCCGTACGGACCTGCTCATACGCTCTCAATTACAAAGAGTACAACAGTTCCGGCACATTACAGTGAGTCGCCTCGACCAAATATTGGAATTCGCATCAAAGGTACGTAAAATCGTGGCATTCTTCAAGTCTGCGAAGAGTGAGCATCACTTAATAAATCCGACACTGCTGGATGTACTGGTAACGAAATTACCCCCCTCAAAGCAGTACGAGTGGAGTTAGCGTGCCGCTGAAATCCCTTCGTTTCCAACGGTCGAGTGTTTCGCTAACCACCAGGGTAGTTTCGCATATGCCAAGAACTATTGAGCGGATTGTACCTGCACAGCACATCCGACACGTCGTTTTACCAGCTTCAAATAACCGGCAGACAGCGCTAGCTGGAGGTGGTAGCCGACGAGTGCTTCACAGCAACGAGGCACAACGCGATCAACGACAGCCAGCGCGATGCGTCCAGTGCAGCCAAGGGCACACACTGACAGAATGCCAAGCCTTTAAGTCGTATAGTGTCAACGATAGATGGGCTCTCGTCAAACGCCATCAGCTTTGCTTCGGGTGTCTTGTCAGTGGACACAACCTGTTGACGTGCCAGTGGAAGGCGTCGTGTGGTATAAACGGTTGCCAACGAAAGCACCACCGACTATTGCACTCATCGACCGGGTCACCAGCCAATCAAGTCGAACATGTTTTTAATTGCCGTCTAGAAAGCCAGACAACATTGTTCAAAATATTGCCAGTGACGTTGTTTGGACCTCGTGGAAATGTGGAGATCTACGCAATGTTTGACGAAGGTTCGCCCATATCATTGCTGAACGATAGTGTCGCCACCAACTTAGGCCTGCAAGGGCAGAACTCACTACTATCTCTACAATGGTATGGAAAAAAAGCTCAGAAAAATCGCGTAGAGTAACAGTAGAACTACAAGGGCAGGCCACGAACCGTACATTCGCCATAAAAAAACGTACGAACCATACCAAATTTAGATTTACCCATACAGTCCTTCGATCGAAGCAAGTTTAAGCACTTCAAAATCGTGCCACTGCTAAGCTACTCCAACGTTAAGCCAGACTTACTACTGGGACTTGACAACTCGTTCCTCGGTGTCGCGCGTAAAATCGGGGACGACGGACACAACCAACCAATTGCCGCCGAAACAAAGTTGCATACGGACCACTGCAGGGTACACAGGCCACCACGTCTCGAGTGAGAGAATTAGAGAATCCACACGTATGAAGCAGCTACAGCAGTTGGTGCAAGATTACATCGCAAGTGATACTTTTTTTTTTGGGAATTGGTTTGATGGCTTCTGGTAGCGACCACATTGCCAGATCGGTCAAAAATAAAAAAAACAGCACGTGTCAAAATTCGTCCACATTTCAGTTACGATATTTCAAGATATACTATATAATTATAGATTGTATTGACTTACATGTATACAAATGGGGGCGACTTATAAACTATCATGCCTATTATGGTATCCGACGGATTCCATCCGCTCGGATCTAATCCGATCCGTACTCGATTCACTTTTTTAAGTAAACGCTATTATTGATACCGACGGATGCACTGCGTTGCCTCTTGTGAACTGTATTGCTAACATAATCAGCTGTGCTTATATGTGTGAAGGATTTTTGTTAAAATTGGTGAAATTTATTGCAAATATTAAATGGATTCTGTGGCTTTTTTTATTGATTTCGATGAAAACACCAGGAGTGATATGCGACGGACTAGAAGGAAAGTCAGGGATAATGTTGTGAATGTATTGGAGTTGCCGGATGAGGTGTGAGTAAATTTTTTGAAGTCTTTATTTCATTCTAACATGTGAGTTCCTTATTCAGATTTGTAAAACAGTTCCGGCTTAACAAGTTAGCATTCAAGTACGTTTTAGAAATATTAATGCAGAAATTGCCTCCAGTTCGAAGATCATGTTCCATAACACCAGAGCTTAAATTAGCTTGTTTAAGGTTTTTAGCTGAAGAGGGCTATCAGAATGGTACTGGCCAAGATTTTAATATTGTCTTGGCACAATCCACATACTCTGTAGTACGCTCTGATGTACAAAACATCTCAGAAGCCACTTTATGTCCCAGATGGATTACTTTAGCAATGACAGACAATGAAAAACTTGAAGCGAAAAGATATTTTTTCGAAAAAACTAGAATTCCTGGAATTGTCATGTGTGTTGACGGTACTCACATTAAAATTCTTAAACCAGCTGCAGGCAATGCACACCTTTATTATAATCGGAAAGGATATTACAGTGTTAATGCAATGATAGTAAGAACTAAATGAGTTTGAACTTCTTCAATTTATTATTTATTTATATTCTTTTATTTTGCATTTTCAGATATGTGACCATAAGCAAAGAATAAGGTATGCGAACAGTAGGTATGCAGGTGCAAGTCACGATTCCTTTATTTGGGAAAATAGTGATGCTTCCACCTACTTCCACGCGCAGTATGAAAATGGAGACAGAAGCACAAGACTGCTAGGTACAAAAAAAAACGAATAATCAAGNCAAATATTAAATGGATTCTGTGGCTTTTTTTATTGATTTCGATGAAAACACCAGGAGTGATATGCGACGGACTAGAAGGAAAGTCAGGGATAATGTTGTGAATGTATTGGAGTTGCCGGATGAGGTGTGAGTAAATTTTTTGAAGTCTTTATTTCATTCTAACATGTGAGTTCCTTATTCAGATTTGTAAAACAGTTCCGGCTTAACAAGTTAGCATTCAAGTACGTTTTAGAAATATTAATGCAGAAATTGCCTCCAGTTCGAAGATCATGTTCCATAACACCAGAGCTTAAATTAGCTTGTTTAAGGTTTTTAGCTGAAGAGGGCTATCAGAATGGTACTGGCCAAGATTTTAATATTGTCTTGGCACAATCCACATACTCTGTAGTACGCTCTGATGTACAAAACATCTCAGAAGCCACTTTATGTCCCAGATGGATTACTTTAGCAATGACAGACAATGAAAAACTTGAAGCGAAAAGATATTTTTTCGAAAAAACTAGAATTCCTGGAATTGTCATGTGTGTTGACGGTACTCACATTAAAATTCTTAAACCAGCTGCAGGCAATGCACACCTTTATTATAATCGGAAAGGATATTACAGTGTTAATGCAATGATAGTAAGAACTAAATGAGTCTGAACTTCTTCAATTTATTATTTATTGATATTCTTTTATTTTGCATTTTCAGATATGTGACCATAAGCAAAGAATAAGGTATGCGAACAGTAGGTATGCAGGTGCAAGTCACGATTCCTTTATTTGGGAAAATAGTGATGCTTCCACCTACTTCCACNCGGAAAGGATATTACAGTGTTAATGCAATGATAGTAAGAACTAAATGAGTCTGAACTTCTTCAATTTATTATTTATTGATATTCTTTTATTTTGCATTTTCAGATATGTGACCATAAGCAAAGAATAAGGTATGCGAACAGTAGGTATGCAGGTGCAAGTCACGATTCCTTTATTTGGGAAAATAGTGATGCTTCCACCTACTTCCACGCGCAGTATGAAAATGGAGACAGAAGCACAAGACTGCTAGGTACAAAAAAAAACGAATAATCAAGGTGCGTATTTTAACTGTAATGATCTTCCATAGGTGACTCTGGATATCCACTGTTACCCTGGCTTATAACACCCTTTCGAACTGCAGGCGTTGATATTCCAGAAAGCAGATTTAATAAAAGCCATAGTAAAGGCCGTAATATTGTAAGAACTGGTGCCGATGTCTCCTTTCTGCTCGCCAACTACATTATGCTCCTGAGAAAGTGGTTCAAATTGTAAACGATGCGGCAGCACTTCACAACATTCGAATACATTATAATATTTCCGACGAATACCAGGAGGAAGTCTACGAACCCGATGAATATGTAGGCGAACCTGTACAACCTCAACGATATACAAATGAAGCAACTCAAATTCGCAATGAGATGTTACGTAGCGTTTTGTAAAATAAAACTATTTAGTATCACAAAATCCATTTTCATACATATTTCTTAATATTTAAGTAAAAAGCCTTCCTGGCATAGTGTTGCACAACGTTGTCTACACACTAAGGATGTAGATAAAAGTAAAATCATATCACTTCATTGGTTAACATACACAGTATTTTCAAAAAACAGAAAAAAAACTTAAATAATAAAGCCCTCCTGTTCAGAAAGTATTCAGGCACTACAGTCATAAAAAAAAATCCAATATAAAATAAAAACAAATCTCATAAAAAAATTGTCAGGTCCCACTTATTTTAAGAATTAAGGTGTCTGTTGACGTTATTTAACTCAATATTTAAAAGTTCCCTTTTTAATCTTAATTTTTCTATAGCAGCCTTTTCCATCACAGCGTTATGTCTTTTAATCTCTTCAAGAGTATTCTGAAGAATTTCATTATTTTTCTTTTTTTGGTCGCCTAGCCTCTCTACTGATCTATTCAGTCTTTTTAAATGGTCCCTCATGTGTTGAAAATATTCCTGTTGGTTCTCAACAGCCTCAGACACTTTTTCGTACAGTCTTTCTTGAACCCCTATTTGCTTCTCTAATAAATCGAATTGCTCGGGTCTCTTTTTTCTTCTTTGGTTAGAAATATTTTGGTCATTCTCAATATTTACGTCTTCATGAGCTTCAATACCATCGTAATCTCTCCGAGTAGGTGGAGAAGTGTCCTCAGATATTCTCTCCTGCGGTACATCTCTCGTAGCAGAAGCTCTCATCTGTGGAACATTTCTCGATGTAGATGGAACTGCGTCATCATAATTTCTCCCCTGTGGCACTCCAAACTGTTTGGAGTTTACCACCAACGCAATCATTAAGACACACAAGGGTAGCAACTTCTTCTTCCATAGATGTTAAGGGAATTTCCCTATTTTCTTCTCCACCAGTCGCTTGTAGCTCACTTTTGTTATGCGTGAGCTTCTTCTTTATCGCCGATTTATAGTCCGACCAAACCTGTGGTTCAAACTTAGTGAATAATATAGTTTAGCTTTTCAACATTTCGCAAACCTTTTTCCATTCGGCAATGGTTTTTGATGGCGGTCCAATCGAATTCAACTCCTCTCGCACACTTTCCCAAAATCTTTCTACCAAATCAGGTGCATTTTTAGTAAAAATTTTTGCTATGTCCGGATGCTCCTTCATTTTGGAAACTAAACATTTAAATTGCTCCCTGGTCGTTGTACGCTTCCTAAAACACATAATACGGTAGACAAACGGGCTCGATTATTTGCATAACCAGCTTTAATTTGCTTTAACTCATGCATTTTCCTCTTTAAAATGAGCATAAGCAGCCGAACAAATGCACGAAATTTTTGGGAATTAACTCGGATCCGGGGAATTTTCGATGACAACACTGGTAAAAACGGCCAGTTGTTGTCTTTTGTACAAGTAAGCAAACGAAGCAGCCGAGTTTCGCGTACGCGGTAGCCGAGTGGGGAGAGTTGCGAGCTACAAGCCTGTAGCTGCCAGGTTCGATACTCGGTTGGAGCGATTGCGAAAAATTTTTTGTTTTTATTATTTATTTTATATTTTTTTATTTTTTTTATTTATATATTTAATTTTACTTTATTTTATTTTCATTTGCTTTATTTTATATCACATTTCTTATTTTACTATTAGTTAATTTTAATTTTTAGAAATGAATTTTGTTAAAAATTCAGCAACAACTAACTGAAAGTAACGTAAAAAAAATATAGAACTTATAAAAAAAGAATGAAAAAGAAATAAAAAAAAGTATACTGGCCGTGGGACTCGAACCCACGACCTTGCGGCTGGTTTATTTGCATTACTGCCGTCTGTAAGGGTAAAATTTTAATTTGCATTTATGCTTATTAATTCAAATTAATTTTCTCCGTCTGTCTACCATATAAGTTTGTGTTTTTTACAATATTACAATATTAAAGGGATAAATAATTGTGATTTTCTTACATTTTATTGCTATCCATCTTATCGTTTTTAGTATCCGAAGCACAATGGCGCGTGAATGAAGCTGAAATTAGTCAAGAACGTAAACCTACCGGTACGTAAACCCGAGTCAGCTGACACGATCTGTCTTACCAAAGCGCCATGTAAATGAAAACTCAACACCGCAGAATTTTTCTGTAGTTGTAGCCCGTAGCGCAGAGATCTGCGGAATTTAGATTTTTCCGTGGCAGCTGATTTCTCCTTCTTTAGATGGTTGTCACTTCGTCAGTTTTACAGATGGTAAAAAAGATATAAGTTCCTATTCAAAATATGTTTAAAATATTTGAAATTTACTATTGAATAAGGTTTTTGTTGAAAACTAAGTAGTTTATATTTAGCTAAAATCTATTAAAGCACGAAAAATTTTAGTTGAAAGGGTATGTTTATGAAAATGCATTGGAGTGGCAACAGTGTAGTAAGCAACACTGAGGGCTCCAGTAATCGACAAAATTCTGCGTATACAGACTGCGTTTAAGTATACGTTCTGCGTTCTCGACTAATTTCAGCTTGACATATTGAGAAATTTGTACGAATCACGGATCGGATGCGTTTTCAATGATGCCACTTTTTTATTTCATTCGCAAACTGCATTAACCACTTTTGACTCATCCGCAAACTGCATTATCGAGCGTTTTCGATAATACCAAATTCTGTCAAAAGTGAGTAAAACTCCCACCGCAACCATCTGTCGGATACCATAATAGGCATGTATATATATGATATATATGTACATTGAAATTACCTCTAATTGGAATTTATCTTAAATACAACAAGTGATACGTTAGTAGTGAGATCACCAGTCAACGCAACCCTGGAATCCGACGACAGCCGAGCCAAAAGAATCGTATGGGCTGTTTTTGCTTACGCGTAAAAGCACATTTAGCGCATTTAGCTCTAAATGCTACTCTAAATGTACATTTATCCATACAAAATTCGTCACCTAAATGCAACTCCATTTTTGCATTAAGAATCTAAATGCTAAAGCAACCCTGTGATCTTCTAAAATTTCCACTATTCGAACATGGTTTAATGAGAAAAAGTGGCAACATTTGTTTCGTTTCCTAATTAAGTGCGGGATTTTTAATTGAAAGCACCAACCAATGAATATATACACAAACAAACGTTGGGTTGTGGTTAAAACAACTCAAGTTTTTGTATTGAATTTTTGGTCTAAAATTTATTTTTTTCCTTTTCAGTAGGGTTTTTTGCACATTATCTTCTGCGTGAGAATTGATCGTAATAGATACGGATCTGAATACGCGACTGGAACGCGGCTGTTTGTAAAAAGCACACGATTTCGAACTCGCGTAAATGTACATTTGCTAAATGCGATAGCATGAACCCTCTTCGAAAACATATGTTCGAAAGTGCTAAATGTTGCATTTTAAATGTAGCAAAAACGCTGCATTAGCAGAAACCACAAAGCACGATGAATGCCGTTACGAAGTAGGTCTCTTTTGGCGGAAAGACGACGTCAAGCTACCAGATAGTTACGACATGGCATAAAAGCGTCTGCTCAACATCGAGTCGCACATGAGACATGCAATTCGCCAGAAGCTACAAAAGAGAAATCGAGAAGTATATTAGCAAAGGTTACGAGAGGCAGCTCTCGGTGGAAGAAGCCAGCATAACCAAATCCACGACCTGGTATTTGCCCCATTTTGGTGTGGTGAACGCCCACAACGCGACACCAACCAATACGCATTTATATTATGACGTCAATGATATTCGGCGCTGCCTCTTCTCCGTGTTGCGCAGAATATGTAAAAAAAATACACAAATGCCAGCAAGTTCAGTTCCCAGCGACCAAAGGGTGTCGATGCCGTTATCAACAAAACATACGTTGATGACCTCGTGATCAGTTTCCAAGACGTCCAAGAGGCCGAAAAAACTATTCGGGAGGCAATTGGAATTAATTTGTGTCAACCCACAAATCTTAGCAAGCGAGACTAAATAGTGAGAAAGATATGCAGTTAACAGTTGTCAATATTGAGAAAAGAGCGACGGCCGACAAGGCATGTATAGGAACACTTCCTCAGATGCCTTCGAGTTTCACCTAAAATTTCTTAAAACACCTGCAGACATTCTGCGATGTGAACGGCCTCCAACGAAGAGAGAGTTACTAGGTATCGTAATGTCAATTTACGATCCTTTCGGTTTTTTGGCAAACATCACAATTGTTGCGAAATTGTTGATTCAGTTGACGTGGAAACAGAACATTATGTGGGATAAACAACTGTCGCATCCGCTGGCCAAGCAATGGAATGCTTGATGGACTAAATTTCAATATGTGAACTCATTCGCTGTACCTCGTTGTTATTCGAGTATGTTACCAAGCGCCGATAACGTCCAGCTGCACATCTTTGTCGACGCTAGTACAGACGCATACGCCGCCGTCGCCTATTTACTAGTCAGTCAGGGGGACGTGGTAGAAGTAGCACAGGTATGTGCGAGATCGAAATTCGCGCCGCTCAAACCGATGACAGTCCCACGCCTGGAACTGCAGGCAGCAGTCCTTAAAACTCTGTTAGAGCAAAACAACGAGATTCGCATTGACAGTACAACCTTTTGGAGCGATTCGCAGACCGTAATCCTCTGGATACGTTCTCACTCCCGAGCGTATAAGCCATTCGTGGCGCATAGGATTGTGGATATCCTGTCAGCAAAGACGGCGGAACAGTGGCGCTGGATACCCACAGCGTTGAACGTGGCAGATGATGCCACACGTGCGTACCGATACCTGAGCCGTCAATAAACAGCCATTGGCTACGTGGACCAGAGTTTCGGTATCAGCAAGAGGGACAATGGCCGCGAGAAACCATGCGGTCATCCGTCGAATGTGCCAACGAGGAGCTAACTAGCCGAAAGCTTCTCTGTACCGCAGGTGAGCCGTTAACCAACTTTACTAAATTTTATTTCTTTCTGACGCTAGTAAGACTCCTGTCCTGGGTATTGCGTTTTGTCAGCAATGCCAGGAGGGAAGTACGCAAAGAAGAACTGCAAGCCGACGAACTGACTGCCGCTGAAAAGCAAATATGCCGCATTGTACAACAACAAGCCTATCAAAACGAGATCGATCTGCTAAGAAGATTGCCCTGCCAAAGAATAGCTGCCTACATCCGCTAACGCCTTACTTAGACGAAGGTCTACTCCGAGTCTACGGAAGAATAGACGCAGCATACTGTCTACCATTTTCCGCACGCCGCCCGATTATTTTGCCGACAGACAATTATGTCACAAAATTAATTTTAGCTGAACACCACCGAAAACGACATCACCTTAACGAATGTTTGACGATAAACGAAATTCAACAACGATATTGGATCCCCGCCATTCGCAGAGTTGTGAAGTATGCCAAGAAATACTGCCCGACTTGTATATACGACAGAGCAAAACCAGCAGCACCATTGATGGGCCAGCTACCCAAAGACCGTCTAACGCCTTACGTCCGACCCTTCACATACAGCAGAGTTTACTACTGCGGTCCGTTCTACATTGCTACCGGGCGCAGAAGAGAANCCAAAGACCGTCTAACGCCTTCCGTCCGACCCTACACATACAGCAGAGTTTACTACTGCGGTCCGTTCTACATCGCTATCGGGCGCAGAAGAGAAAAGCGATGGATTGCATTGTTTACATGCTTGACGACTCGAGCAGTGCACCTAGAGTTAGCTGAAAGTCTTTCCACATATGCGTTTCTCATATGTCTTCGAAATTTCGTTAATCGTCGTGGAGTGCCCATACGCATTCGAAGCGATAATGGCACTAACTTTGTTGGAGCACAGAGAGAGATGAAGGAGTCGGAGAGGATGTTCGATTTCGAAGCAATCGGTCGTGAGCTGCCNCATTCGAAGCGATAATGGCACTAACTTTGTTGGAGCACAGAGAGAGATGAAGGAGTCGGAGAGGATGTTCGATTTCCAAGCAATCGGTCGTGAGCTGTCGTAAGAATAAAATCGAATGGGTGTTCAACTGTCCCGCGGATCCAAGTAGTGGGTGCTGCTGGGAGCGACTAACGACTCCTAATAAAGGTTTTTAAAGAAAAAGCGCCAGGATGGAGACATTCCGCAGTGTGATGATTAAGATAGAGAACATCATCACCAGTCCTCCAGCTTATGAGATGGTAACAAAATTTACCGGTTACAAGAGTATACAGAATGCGGAAAGGGTTTAAAAATTTGCAGGATCTTTATTTACCGGTTACAAACTTTTTATTACCAGCGCAGAATAGACCTGTTAACGACAGAATTCGTTAGACATGTCGATAAAGAAGTTTACGAGGATTGTCGTTAATTACAAAGACAAATATGGCAATATTGACGTTTGACACTCAATATTTAAAAGAAACATTTTATTGTTGCGCGTATTATTGTTGTCGAGATTGTTGTTTGTGAATACAATATGAAAAAAAACAAAAGCGCAAAAGCTACTACGGAACAGTACCATAGGATGCTGGACTTTTTATTTTGCAATAAGGGCCTCGTGCAAGGCGAATTTAATAATGTGGTGTTAGCCGTATATAAGTAAAAAATTATACGCACAATTACAGTATGAATTACAACAAACACATCATTTTCACGTTATGCTTTCTACGTCTAAAAATTCAGCTGTGGCTCTAGTTTTCGACGTAACAGTACTTGAAAATTTGTTTAAATTTTCAAGTTTTTTTTTTTTTTAATAACTCCGACAAAGTCCGTTAAAGTCATTTTACTAAACTTTATCACGTGACTATTTTTTAAAATAACCTTCACTATAAAAATCAGTCATGTTAAAATTTTTATTAAAACAACACAAAAACTGAGTTGTTTACAAACAAGTTAAACTTGGAGCAAATGTTCAAGTGTCGTTATCTAGAACACTGGAGCCAATCTGACAAAACGGGGGAAGCCATTGAATTTAGAGTGCCCCAATTAAGTGAGATCAACTATCAAAACCTTTGCCTAAGTTTTCAACTTTCAATGTAATAAATAAAAATTATAATAACAATAAGCACATCTATATGTGATAAATGTTTATTTATTAGTTTTTTTTTTGTTATAATAGTTGCCTAATTTTTCTCAATAAAAACTTAAACCAATTTTATCGTTAGGCTTTTCAACGACAAAATATTCGTAGCTAGGCAAATTTCGTTAGACAACTGTCAAAGCTACCGACAATATTCGCTAAAAGTGTGCTTGAGAATTGCCATTAACGAAACTTGTCGGAATCGTTAGCTAACGATACGAATATTGTCGTTAAGAAAAATGGGAATCACACTACTGATGACAATACGAATGGAAATTATAATAGCGAGGTTTTAGTTTTATAAACTATAATTTTATTTATACATCTCTCCAATCAAAATGCGTTTAAGACACAGTTATTACCACCTTTCCGCGTAAATGGCCGTGTTGTACTTTTTCATAAGCCTGAGGCAGTTGTTCAAATGTAAATGAACTATCAATTAATGGCAGTAGCTGAAATTACCATTATTATATAAGAGATGTTATAGGAATGGAAATAATTACCTTATTTCTCTCTACCAATTTGGAAAGCATTTCCATTCCTTGAGGAGCTGGCGTGAAGAACCCCCATTTTATTGTTCCCACTTTCGCATATAACGTTTTTGAATTCGATTCGACCACCTCCGTAATGTTTTTGATCATTCCCAATGCAACACCAAAGTCATCCATATTCCGTACCAAAGGAGAAGAAAACGTTATATATTGTCCAAACTTAAATTTGATGTGGGTAGCGTGCTCTGTCCCTTGACCTGCACAATCTAATACAATATCGAACGGTGCATGACGATGCAAAGCTTCGAGCTCTTCGGTATTTTTATAGTCGACTACGAAATCAGCACCTAGATTTCTTACAAGCTCGAACGCTTCTTTACTGCAAGTCGCGAATACAGTTGCCTTTTGAGACTTTAGTATTTGTATCGCCAGAGACCCAACACTACCAGAACCGCCTATCACTAAGATTCGTTTTCTTGCTCTTCCACCGGCACTGGATAGTGAATCACAAAAGCCCCCTATACGACCAGTAATGTAAAGACCCGACCATGCGGTAAGTCCGGCATAAAGAACAGATGCAACTTGTTCATTTGATAAGCTCTGAGGAGCAGGAGATATCTAAACAAAAGGGTTTATTTAAATAATTAACAATATATATGCTTATATTTTACACAATAATCTGGTACAACAACGTATTGGGCGTGTGATCCATTTTTCTCCAATGGCACAACGCCCCATACTCGGTCGCCCAAAGATGCCTTCTTATTAACTGCCATTCCGCATTGTATAACTTCACCACAAAATTCACGTCCGAGAATTAAAGGAAATTCAATCGCATTGGAAATTTTACATCGTAGCTTATTGAGAATTTTCGACCCATATCCACCTTTTTTAATAACAAATCAAATTTGAAGAAATGCTACCTAGTTATATTTAATTTGGGAAATCTTTAGCTATTTGTACAACGATTTAGGGGTGGGGGCGGAGGGGGCCAGCTACCCAAAGACCGTCTAACGCCTTCCGTCCGACCCTACACATACAGCAGAGTTTACTACTGCGGTCCGTTCTACATCGCTATCGGGCGCAGAAGAGAAAAGCGATGGATTGCATTGTTTACATGCTTGACGACTCGAGCAGTGCACCTAGAGTTAGCTGAAAGTCTTTCCACATATGCGTTTCTCATATGTCTTCGAAATTTCGTTAATCGTCGTGGAGTGCCCATACGCATTCGAAGCGATAATGGCACTAACTTTGTTGGAGCACAGAGAGAGATGAAGGAGTCGGAGAGGATGTTCGATTTCCAAGCAATCGGTCGTGAGCTGTCGTAAGAATAAAATCGAATGGGTGTTCAACTGTCCCGCGGATCCAAGTAGTGGGTGCTGCTGGGAGCGACTAACGACTCCTAATAAAGGTTTTTAAAGAAAAAGCGCCAGGATGGAGACATTCCGCAGTGTGATGATTAAGATAGAGAACATCATCACCAGTCCTCCAGCTTATGAGATGGTAACAAAATTTACCGGTTACAAGAGTATACAGAATGCGAAAAGGGTTTAAAAATTTACAGGATCTTTATTTACCGGTTACAAACTTTTTATTACCAGCGCAGAATAGACCTGTTAACGACAGAATTCGTTAGACATGTCGATAAAGAAGTTTACGAGGATTGTCGTTAATTACAAAGACAAATATGGCAATATTGACGTTTGACACTCAATATTTAAAAGAAACATTTTATTGTTGCGCGTATTATTGTTGTCGATATTGTTGTTTGTGAATACAATATGAAAAAAAACAAAAGCGCAAAAGCTACTACGGAACAGTACCATAGGATGCTGGACTTTTTATTTTGCAATAAGGGCCTCGTGCAAGGCGAATTTAATAATGTGGTGTTAGCCGTATATAAGTAAAAAATTATACGCACAATTACAGTATGAATTACAACAAACACATCATTTTCACGTTATGCTTTCCACGTCTAAAAATTCAGCTGTGGCTCTAGTTTTCGAGGTAACAGTACTTGAAAATTTGTATAAATTTTCAAGTTTTTTTTTAATAACTCCGACAAAGTCCGTTAAAGTCATTTTACTAAACTTTATCGCGTGACTATTTTTTAAAATAACCTTCACTATAAAAATCAGTCATGTTAAAAATTTTATTAAAACAACACAAAAACTGAGTTATTAACAAACAAGTTAAAATTGGAGCAAATGTTCAAGTGTCGTTATCTAGAACACTGGAGCCAATCTGACAAAACGGGGGAAGCCACTGAATTTAGAGTGCCCCAATTAAGTGAGATCAACTATCAAAACCTTTGCCTAAGTTTTCAACTTTCAGTGTAATAAATAAAAATAATAATAATAAGCATATCTATATGTGATAAATGTTTATTTATTAGTTATTTTTTATTATAATAGTTTGCCTACCGATGAATTTTGCCTAATTTTTCTCAATAAAAACTTAAACCAATTTTATCGTTAGGCTTTTCAACGACAAAATATTCGTAGCTAGGCTATCGGCAAATTTCGTTAGACAACTGTCAAAGCTATCGACAATTTTCGCTAAAAGTGTGCTTGAGAATTGCAATTAACGAAACTTGTCGGAATCGTTAGCTAACGATACGAATTTTGTCGTTAAGAAAAATGGGTATCGCACTACTGATGACAATACGAATGGAAATTATAATAGCGAGGTTTTAGTTTTATAAACTATAATTTTATTTATACATCTCTCCAATCAAAATGCGTTTAAGACACAGTTATTACCACGTTTCCGTGTAAATGGCGGTTTTGCACTTTTTCATAAGCCTGAGGCAGTTGTTCAAATGTAATTGAACTATCAATTAATGGCAGTAGCTGAAATTACCATTGCTATATAAGAGATGTTAAAGGAATGGAAGTAATGAGCTGGCGTGAAGAACCCCCATTTTATTGTTCCCACTTTCGCATATAACGTTTTTGAATTCGATTCGACCACCTCCGTAATGTTTTTGATCATTCCCAATCCAACACCAAAATCATCTATATTCCGTACCAAAGGGGAAGAAAACGTTATACATATATTGTCCAAACTTAAATTTGATCTGGGTAGCGTGCTCTGTCCCTTGACCTGCCCAATCTAATACAATATCGAACGGTGCATGACGATGCAAAGCTTGTTGTTGTTGTTATTGTTGTAGCGGCTACTAAGTCCCGTTCGAGGCGGTTCATCCATCAACGTTGTCGCCTATTTCAGCCAGGGGGAGGCCCAGGAAGTGTGCTACTTGCAAAGGGGCTGTACATAGGGACAGGGGCGTTAGCTGAGTGGGGTTCTCAGGGCATGTGAAGAAGTGCAGGGAGTCATGTGGCGAATCTCCACATGCCGGGCATTGGTTGGGCACATCCTCGTTGATTCTGGTCAGGTAGCTGTTGAGCCTGCTGCAGTAGCCAGAGCGAAGTTGGGCTACTGTAGTGCCGGTCTCCCGAGGCAGACAAAGTTCTGTCCCGTCCACGTTGTTGTTGTTGTTGTAGCGGCTACAACAACCCCGCCCAGGACGGTTGGTATCTCAGTCATTGTCGTCAAGTTCCACTAACGGCAACCCTAGGAAGCGTGCAGCTTCTGTGGGGTTTGTCCACAGGGACAAGGCCGTTAGGGTTGATGGGTTTTCCGGGCATGCGAAGAGATGATTCGAGTCATGTGGGGTCTCTCCGCATGCCGGACGCTCATTCGGCACATCCTCATTCAACCTACTCAGGTAGGAGTTCAACCTGCTGCAGTAACCGGAGCGAAGTTGTGCGAGTGTTGTGCGTGTCTCCCGAGGCAGATGAAGCTCCGTCTCGTCTATGTCCGGGGGTGGTATGCCTAGAACGGCATTCACAGGTCTAGAGTCTACATAACTCGAGACTGAGTCCCTGTGAATGCCGTTCAGGGCCTGTCGGTACGCTGTCGGGTCCAGAGGTTGCTTAATGAACCTCTGGACTTCGTCCGTCAGTTCATATAGATGCCTCCTGACGTGCCTAGGCGAGGGCTCCTCTGCAAGCAGCTGTCTGCT